TTCAATCATATCTAGTGTCTATCTACCATGATTGAATATATGTCAACTATTGTCAACTAACATGACAACTTTTTTCCAGTGGTTGACATATTCCCATGAGGAAAAACTGAGGCTCCCCAGCCCGTACAGAGAGGGAAGGATCGTCCACCCAGACGTGTTCCATCTCCTGAAGGCTGGGTTTCGTACATTTTGGGACCTGAAAATCTCTGGAAAATCTCCAAATCACTGGGTTTAGCATTGGTTTATCATCATATGAATCATCTTTCCCACTGAAATGGCCATGAATTGGGTGAAACATCCGAAATCTACCCTTTTTTTTGAGCATCATGTTCCCTAGTTGCCATTTCAGGAGGCATACCTTATTTCTGGACGAAGCCATATGAAATGTCATGACATTTCTAACTTTGCTGGGAGTCCCTTTCATGAAGATGTGCGTATCTGATTTCTGAGTCTTAACCGGGGCCACCAGGGATCAATATCCAAGTCGCCCACAGCTCTCCAAGGAAAATCAATGAACATCTCATGTTTGTCCCAGGGGGACACCCAAACATGTCAATGTTGATAGGCAGAAGATAAAACCCAATTGGAATACTATCCAATTTGAAAGGTGTCCATTTACCCTCTGGTAATTTAACATAGCTATTGAAAATGGCTCATTTATAGTTGATTTACCTACTATAGATGGTGATTTTCCATAGCTATGTTAAATTGCCAGAGGGTGAATTCAAAATGACACACATCCAAGCAATTCCAGGTTACCCCACATGCTGCGCTTGGATGGATCTTGAGGCCTCCCGATCGGCAGATGCTATCAGGAAGCCATGTGCCAATGTTGATGTCCGACCATTGAGCATAAAACTGCTTTATTGATACAGCAAGAAAGTATACAGTATATCACATCTAAATGTATTTGGTATCTATATTATATGAATATTTAGTAATATTTATATAATGCGCTTGACTTCTCATCCGTTTGATGATGGAGGTTTCAAGGATACCCAGAAAATATCCCCTTGCGTACCCAACCTGGCTATATATATATATACATAATATCTTAGTCTTTGTAAAAAACTGTGTCTAGAAACTCCTCTTCCCGATTCTTTGATGGCAATTTTTATTGGGCGGGAATCCCCCGTTGGACAAAACCAGATATCAAACTCTGGGTCAAACTAAGAAATCCATACAAATCCCACTATTTCTACCAGCATTTCTGGACAAAAACAGCCAAGGTTTCTCAAAGCTGAGGTACAAACAAACCATTGGTTTTCCTTAGGACAGACCTAGAACTTGAATGATTTTGGGGACCCGCAATTCAGGACCCCCCCGACATTCAATGGGAAAATCTGGTTTCCAGCCCGCCTCCGCCCCGATGATGCCCCAGCGAATGGCGTTGGGGGCTGCAGCTGTTGCGGCCTTGCTCAGACGTGCTCAGGTTCTCTCCCATTTTCACAGCCCCAAAATGGGAGAAACATGGAGAAACCCTATTTATTCACCGGGAAATCATGGAACATCAAGCATCATTAGATGGAATGCAACGCCCTCTCCAAGTTCATGACACCAGAAAACAAAAATAGAAATGATCCCACAGACATACTTCAGTTGTCCACCAGCAAAGGAGATAGGGATCTTTGGGGAGGAAATCCCCTTGATCGAATCGCTGGGATTGCCATTTTTTGACATTAAGCATGTATAACCCGCTAATAAAACGGTCATAACCATGTCATAAGCATGTATAATAACCATGTTATAATGAACATGTTATAACCATGTTATAGCCATGTTATAATGAACATGTTATAACCATGTTAAAACCATGTTATAACCATGTTATATCCTAAACATGCTATAGCCATCTTATAGCCATGTGATAGCCATGTTATAGCCATGTTATCACCATGTTATAACCATGTGATAGCCATGTTATAGCCATGTTATAATAACGTTATAATGAACATGTTATAACCATGTTATAATAACGTTATAATGAACATGTTATAACGATGTTATAACCATGTTATAACCATGTTATAGCCATGTTATAGCCATGTTATAGCCATGTGATAGCCATGTTATAGCCATGTTATAGCCATGTGATAGCCATGTGATAGCCATGCGATAGCCATGTTATAGTCATGTTATAGCCATGTTATAGCCATGTTATACCCATGTTATAGCCATGTTATAGCCATGTTATAGCCATGTTATAGCCATGTTATAGCCATGTTATAGCCATGTTATAACCATGTTATAACCATGTTACAGCCATGTTATACCCATGATATAACCATGTTATAACCAGGTTATAACCATGTTATAACCATGTTATACCCATGTTACAGCCATGTTACAGCCATGTTATAACCATGTTATAACCATGTTATAATCAGGTTACAACCATGGTATAACCATGGTATAACCATGGTATAACCATGTTATAACCATGTTATAACCATGTTATAACCATGTTATAACCATGTTAAAACCATGTTATAACCATGTTAAAACCATGTTATAACCATGTTATAACCATGTTATAACCATGTTATAACCATGTTATAACCATGTTATAACCATGTTATAACCATGTTAAAACCATGTTAACCATGTTATAACCATGTTATAACCATGTTATAACCATGTTATAACCATGTTATAACCATGTTATAACCATGTTATAACCACCATGTTAAAACCATGTTAAAACCATGTTATAACCATGTTATAACCATGTTATAACCATGTTATAACCATGTTATAACCATGTTATAACCATGTTATAACCATGTTATAACCATGTTATAACCATGTTATAACCATGTTATAACCATGTTATAACCATGTTAAAACCATGTTATAATCATGTTATAACCAGGTTATAACCATGTTATAACCATGTTGCATGATCACTTAATATCAGTTACTTGATCTCCAACTGTTCCTGGACACCGAGACGCTTCGGGACTGGGCGATCTGGAGGCCTTGGAGCGGAAACTCTTCAGAGTGGATAGTATCCTAGCTGTTATGGTTCACCAACTAAGCCCCAAGATAAGTGTATGTATGTGTATATATATATAATATGAAAATAATAATAATAATAATATAGTAACAATGATAATAATATAGCAACATACCATGTTAAGCACATATTGTATGTATGATGTAGATATGTTTTGCAGGATATATATATATATACACACTATTTTTACTAATCTAATCTCATCTATCTTTTTGAGTGGGGGCAAGAAACGAAGGCTGCAAAACATATCTGAGGATATCTGGGGTCTCGGCGGAGCCCTGGGACCCTTGGCCGCAGCTCAGTCGATAGAGCGGCCTGGGTGTTGCTGTCTGCTTTGGACATCCCCGCCCTGGAAGTTTCTAATGGGAACATCCTCAATAAATGGCTGGATGTTCATAGATTTTCCAGCCATGTTTGATTACTGGAGGGTAAGTTGAAACTAAATGAACATTGATGAACATTGTAACAGATCTAAGAACTAAGAAAGTAGTTAGAGATGTTGATCTTTGAACCAACTCTTTCTTTGTTCTACATGCATGAATCAATAGTTGAACATAGTTGAACCGTGTTGAAACGATAGCTCTGCCAAATTGTAATCCTTCACGAGCCCGAATTGAGATGACATCAGGACATTTGGGGATAAACATTTCTCCTATACCAAGCATCATTTACAAACTTCGAGGGATTGAACCTGCCAGTGATGCTGCTTTTGACTTTTTCCACATACAATCGATAATAATAGATAAGTCGGTCATTGGCCATTGGTCGTTCATTTGCCATGCACCTAAAGACGACAAGCAAGGTTTGCCTGTCAAGATCTGTCAGGGCATCCTTGCAATCATATTCGACGCAAGTGTTGCCGAAGCAACTCGAATTCGTGACTTTCAGGGCCAAAAGCCTTTCAGCTTACGCCGCTTGCACCACAGAGCGCACCTTTTTGTGGTGGTTTCTTTCAATGGGGGACCCTCAAACCATGGGTTTCCCCGTAGAAATCTCAACTTTGGATGATTTCCAGGTCCCCCAAGTCGAAAGAAACACCATATTGATCCATATTGTGGGCATGTTTCTTTTTGAACTTGGATGAACTTGGAACAACTCAGGCGATCTTGGGCTTTGGATCGGACTTCAGTTGCTGAATCCTCTGCTTTCAGCGGCCAAGCCCTTCCTAGGAAAGTGTGGCCACGCTCAAACAAAACGCAGGGCTGGATATTTTGTGCCAAGCTGGGGTTTCTATCAGCCACGAATAACATTGAATAACATCATCTATAAAATACACAAAGGATCATACAGGCCAACTAGAACCTCTGCAAACACTGCCTGAAAGGCATCCGGCAAAGGTGAGGGAGGATCTGCCGAATATCCCTCTGATGGCACAAATTGCGACTGGCCTTATTTCTATCACATATTTTATCATCCTTATGTATCAATGGTCTGAAATTCGAGGTCCCAAACAGACCAGGGATTTTTTTATCTCCAAACAGACCAGGCCCAAAACATTATTGTCATGGTTCTTGCCTTATCCGTTTGGGTTTTGTCTCAACAAATAGAGGCTGAGACAACACAATTTTGAGGATGAGTTGGAAGGAAATCGCTGCCACAACTGGAGGTAAACCTAGCGTCTTCGCCGCCGCCACTCCGCTTCCTTAGGACTTCCACACTCCCGCAACTAGTTGGGGACCCCGACACCATGGAATTCCTTGCCCAAGAAAAGTGACATTCGGTGGTTTTGGGGGTCCCCAATCTTAAGAAGCCGCAATATCCGAATCAAATCCCATATTCATCCATCCAAGAAATAGATAGAAATAGTATGAAATTAATAATAGTACATGTTTGCACAAGGCTGCAGTTGCACACGGTCCCATGCGTGTTTGTTGCCGCTACTGTAGTGAATGAAAACCGACCATTCTTTCACGCTGAGGTTTTCTCGAAACATGTTCGTCCCCAAAATCCCATGGTTTACTTTCAGTTTCCCCTTTTTGAATTGCTATGAAATTGGAGGAGGCCCCATTTGTCTCACTCCGGCAACATTTCTGTCCATGCATCGAACAGCCAGAGCCCAGTGCTCACAAGGATTGCCACGGAAGCACATCTCCCTGTTTGGAAACGACAAAGTGGCCACCTGCAAAAGCACCTAACGACACGCGGTGTTGGGATGGCCATCTAGGGGTATACTTCATTTTTTGGGCTAAGCCACATCAACGCCTGTTTATAGTTGTTTTATATTGTTTTATATTGTTGTTATGCCTTGAACACTGATATTATGAACATTTATGAACTCTGGAAATCTGCTCACTCATCGCCAAGGCACAGTTTCATTTCTTCGGTGGCCGACACCCACAATCTCAAAGTACACGTCTCGCGGAGCACAGGGCAGCTCTGCGAATTTCTGTTGGATCCATTTCTTCCTCATTTCGAGCGACCGCTTTTGAGCAGCGACTTGGAAGTTCATCAATTCTGGATACTCTAAGCGGTTGAAGAAATGGCGTGAGTTTTCTTCAGAAACTCATCTGCAACCACTAGAGGCATCAACCATCTTTGAGACCAAAACCTCCAGCCTCCAACCATCCCCAACCATGTCCAACCCCTTCAGATCCTTTTTCAAGGGATTCAGATTCAATTAACAATGGGAAAACATGGGAATATTCTGGGAATAACACAGACTAGTCATAATATTCCCATAATATTCCCATAATATTCCCATGATAATCCCTCAACAGTGGATTCCCTTGATGGTTAACCACTATTAACCACTATTAATCACTATTAATCACTATGAATCCCTCAACAGTGTCCCGCAATGTTCAGTGGCTCTTTCAAGTCGATGCGAAAATGCTGCTTGCTGCACCGGCCAATCGCCATCTTCAAACTCTCCGCCCGCGTACGGCCAATGGCTTCCACAACATCCAGTTCCGGAGAGACCGTCAAAGTGCAGTGGCACGTCCCCTCCTGAAACGTCAGAAAAACAAGGGTTTGGTACCTGAAAAGTTGGGGAAAACATGGGAATATTATGGGTATAACACCCAAATTCCAATGGTTTACCATTATTTTACAGAGAATGTTTTGCTCCCAGGGCATTCGTACAGGCATTTTGATGATTGAGGAGCCTGGAGGATATCGTTGCCCAACATCTAGTGCTTGCTAGTATCCAGTCCACGCAAGTCGCAAACATTGTTTCGTCATTTCCTTGCAGTCTCGAACAATTATGATATAGGATAATTACAAGTAGTAGTTCCCAGGTATAAGCGTAGTTCCGTATTAGTAATTAGATGTAATGAGTATTTCGTATCAGTATGAGTACTATAGGATTACTAGATCATTATCCTGAATCATCCCTGCTGATATCACAGCACTAACTGATAATTAATGATTATGGTAATATTAATATTATTACTACTACTATCAGTGATAATCATCAGATTATAATTATCCATTCGTCAATTATGATCATTTTTGGATCATTATTGCTCTTGTGAATGAGTATCAATCATAACTAACATTGCCACTGATCATATAATAACTAACATTGATTGTTCCTATTGCTATTAACATAATATTATTATAACCTAATCCATTATAATCCATTATTATTATCATTATGATGATTATTGCTATTATTAATTAATCCCGACTGTAATCATCATCCTCTCAGCTCCTCAGGGTTCTCTCGGTAGCTCATCTTCCATCCACTGGTCTCGGGGTGCTCCTCCAAAGCATCATCAAGTGCCACGTGCCTAGGGCCCTAGGGGGCACGTGCACGGCAACGGCCATGGCTAGTGGGTTCTAACATGTTATAAGCCGCTTATATATATATATATATATATGGGATAATACACCACTTATATAGAGGTTAGTAAGTGGGGTTATGAGCCACTGAACTAATAGGATGTATCCGATACACCCACGAAGTGGGGACTTACAAGGGTTATTTACCAGTTACTAAGTGGGATGCCTCCAGGTAGCAATAAAAAAAAAACATGATGGCATAGGATCAATAGAATCAATAGTGATAAATAGTAATGAGCACCAGGTATGATTAAAGGTCCATAAAACCACAATGACTCATATAGGATCAAACACTGCATGAGAATAGCTAGTGTCATAAATACTCAGAATTTGATTCTACAATTTACAATCGTTAAGCCTTGAAGCAGAGACTCAACTTGTCAACATCATCTTTTGCAAGGAGACCTTAAATGACCAGGCACGTCAGGTCGCGCATGGCCGTCATGGCCGGCATCTTGGAAGCCCTTTGTTTCAACCGACTCTTCGACACTTTTGGTTTCAATGGCTTAACCTCTTTGAGCTGCTGCTTCTTGGAATGCGCCGTCTTCGCTGAATTCAGCACCTGCAGCCGTTGCAGCCAACAGCATCCAACTGCAAGTTACAGCTGCAACTGCCTGATGACCAATGAATGTTTTGAAATCACATGCCACAAATAAAATCACCCTGCCCACCTTCATCATGTTGTCCAAAGCCTCTACTCTGGCCTCGATCAAGCAGGGATCAGACCCATAGAAATCAGGATCATGGCTTGAAAGAAATTGCATGTTGACATTTCACTTTGCTGCTTTCATAAAGCCTCGCGAGTACATTGGCGTATAATACAGTATCATGGTATAGGGAGGAAAGAAACCATAAAAAAAATCAGGGCACGAAGACAAAACCCACGCTTGATGAACCTCCAGTGATCTGTGTCTCTGCACCTCTTCCCTCTGCATCAAAATATAGAGCGCGACTTTGGGTATTAGTGTGGTGAACACGATAATAAACCGACGATGTTGGATGGTTTATACCAAACATTGTTTCTCATATTGGGGATAGTATTCTTTCTTGGGTTTACCATGGTTTACCTCATTATTGCAATCCCAGCATTTTTTTCGCCATAAATGTGAACCACAGGTGTGGAAGCAACTTGCACTGAACCCCTTGGGCCTGATTGTCTGCACGGTCCAGTCGCTTAAACTCCTGCAAAGCCAATCAGGACTTGTTGCAGAAGGGGCTATAATATTTCCAACACGAAAAGCAAATTGCCACAAACAGAACCCAAATACATCAAGTACCAGTACAATTCAGTTGTTTTACTATTATTAAACCATCCAATCTCGTTGTAGATCAAAATACGACCCCAGATCCTTGTGCTCAAATTTTCAAACCTAAGTCGGAAGCATCCACATCAAGTCATCACAGTAGCAGTCCTGGTAGGCATCTGAAAGCTGCCTCTCAGCTTTGATATCTTTGAGGACTCCTCTATGGGCCAGGTCGATCATGGTACCAGGCGTTTAGACATGTCATGAGTGCAGCCCTTCATGACCTAAAAATTGTTCGCTATGGTTCACCATGTTGCTGATATGTGTTTATTTTCCCCTTGCAAACTAAGATTTACAGCAATTATTTTTGTGGTGTTAAATCAATCAATCTACAAATTCTAGACTCAATACTCAGAAAGTTCTACCTAATATTTCCAAAAAAACAATAACTATTTATATATATATATATACATATATATACTATACAGTACTTTCCAATAAATCAACAAAACAACACGGGAAACCCACCACGACTGATCTACATCATTCTTCCTGTGGCCATGGCCGTCATCCGCTTGCTGGGAATCAGCTGGATCGCCGAATCATCCTCCAAGGCCCTTTGGCCTCGACAATTCCGAAACACGACACGATTCATGTACTATAGGAACTAATACATATATCCATATACAGTAATCAGTTATATATAATGTACTATTACATAATGTACATAATTGTATGTTGAATGAATAAATAAATATATATATATATGTATAATTATATACGAAATATACGGGCAAACCCCTCCTCTTGCCCGCGCCGACGTCCACCACGTGTCCGAACATCAAAAAACACTGTGTTTTGTGGTGCAAAATGCACATGTCCAGGATCATGGCTTTCATCTTGCAACGCACAGCTTAGCAACCTGTGCGCTGAATGTTACATCATCATCATCATCATCATCATCATCATCATCGTCATCATCATCATCATTGAATCATCATCATCATCATCATCATCATTGAATCATCATCATTGAATCATTGTAATCATCATCATCATCGTCATCATCATCATCATCATCAATGAATCATCATCATCATCATCATCAATGAATCATCATCATCATCATCATCATTGAATAATCATCATCATCATGATCATCATCATCATCATCGTCATCATCATCATCAGCATCATCATCATCATCATCATCAAGATTCCCTTGAATGTAAAGTTTAACGGGGGTGAAGTTTTAATGATTCCCTAGAACTCTGTTGAAACATGTTTAAGATTCCCTTCAGCACGCCAGTTAATATCGCTCTTCAATGTACTTGGAAACCCTGCAAAAGTTGTGTGTGTGTGTGGGCGAAAAGGGGGTTGTGCGTAAATATACTACTATCACATATGATCTACTATGTCACAATTTTACACATCATACTATCTATTGTTATCTATGATGTCATGTCTGATTCAGCAGGTAAATGGTGCACCCAAGCCCCCAGCCCCAGCCTTTGTTGGTCAGAAACCAGAGGAACTTCAAGATGTCCTTCCGTTGCCACTTCTTGCGCTTCAACTTCACATCGTGAATGCCAGCGTATTTCTTGATCACAAAGTCGTTGTTCCAGAGCAGGGTCAACAATTCTTGAAGCCATCCTGCAAAATACGAGCTAAAAACATCATGCAAAAGATGCAAAGGCATGCAAATGCGTCATGTGCTACCCCTGCGGCACCAACTGGGGATTGGCAAGATGGTCTGTGCCATCGGTGAGACCAAAACATCTCAGCACGAATGTTCTTCGATGGACACTCACAAACAGTTCACTTCATGCCATGTAGGATAGCATTCTACTTGGGAAAGTCCAGATTAATAACGTGGAAAACATGAAGACACTTCCGAAGCACTACAGGTTCCTCATGTCAAAGGTTGTGAAATCATGCGATGTATAGTGCCCTAGCTTGACGGCACCAAACTGGCACCGCACAAATGCCGGAGTCCTTTCTGACGTTGCTTCGCAGGTAGTGAGCTTCTGGCCAGTGAGCAATGAGCTGAAACTATGCCAATAAAATCATCCAATGACCAGTGTGCTGGGGGTTTTCTGTTGCTGTTCCTTTTAAATCCGTTTAAATCATTTTACTGATTCACTTTTCTGTTTGTCTGAGAATAGGGCACCCTCAAAACCACGGTGAATTATCATGTTCCTCGAATAAAATAACCATTTGGGGGTATACCAGTAAACCCCAATTTCAGGCACACCCACTAGCAGCCAATGGCACGCATAAATCCCATCTTTGCAGTGCGCGCCTCAAGGTTTCCATGGTCTGCAGCAACTCCTGGTTCCAAGAGCCATTTCGCATCTTGCCAACAGCTTGGGTAATGAACATTAAATAACTGATACTCGATCTAATATCTATTTTCACCAGCTATAGAAATCAAGGAGCCACTGACATTGTATCAGTCTGAAGGGGAAGGATTAGTCCGTCCTGGTGGTCATATCCCTTGTTCGCTTTTGGTTATCCACTTTCTTGTTTGGGGCTCAAAATCCTGGTGTACACTGTTGAACCACCGAAAATCGAAGTGCCTTAGCTCCCTCAATGTTTCACCATGTTTCACTCAAGATCCGATGGCTTACCATTTCTCAGAAACCTTGGAGCTATATATAATTCACAGGGGTTCCCATATTGAATCAACACCAACCCCACTAGTATATCACCCCCAGTTTTGAACATACCAGTCTCCCAATTGGAAATAGTCGTGTTGTCATTGGAGCACCATGAATCCCACCAACTTTGTCAGATGTTTAGTGTGGAATTTGACCCAAGGTCCCCAAGAAACTATGATTTTCTCCAAAGTTGAATTGCCAAATGGCTCTGTTATGCTTTACCCGAGAATAGGCTACCTCCAAACCTTCCACAACCACTGGCGAATCATCATTTTCCGGAATGAAATGATGTAAAATGGCCACATGGCGATATGAATCCCGATTTTTCGACATCGGAAGCCTTGGACCCTAAGCCTGCCCAAGCCTGCTGCTCCGGCTCGAGATCGCACTTGCCCAGAGCCAGATCCAGCACCTACCACTAGGGAGGAAGGGATGGCCGCAAACTGGAAGATTTAGGATGGGTTGGGATAAATGGTGACTGATCTTGACGAAAATGATGATGATGATGATGATGATGATGATGATGGCGACGACGATGGCGACGATGATTACGATGATGATGATGATGATGATGATGATGAGGATGACGATGACGATGACGGAAATGATGGCGATGATGATGATGATGATGATAGCGACGACGATGGCGACGATGATTACGATGATGATGATGATGATGATGATGATGATGATGATGATGATTCGATGATGATGATGATGATGATGATGATTCAATGATGATGATGATTCAATGATGATGATGATGATGATGGTGATGATGATGATGATGATTCATTGATGATGATGATGATGATGATGATGATGATTACAATGATTCAATGATGATGATTCAATGATGATGATGATGATGATGATGATGAGGATGAGGATGACGATGACGGCGATGACGGCGATGATGGCGATGATGATGATGATGATGATGATGATGATGACGATGACGACGATGACGATGACGATCACGATGACGATGATGATGATGATGATGATGATGATGGGGAGGAGGAGGAGGAGGAGGAGGATGCCGATGCTGCTGAGCATGCTGCAAGTATAGAAGATGGGAAGCGGTGCACATTCAGACTCCAAACGCCTGGCTCAAAGAATGTTGTTTATGGATTATGAATTGAGAATTCAATGCAATCACACTATGCCGCTATGCGTGAAAATGGCTCAGAGATGGTTATTGGTCAAAATTAAACGCCCTAAAACTGGGTAAATTCAATAAATAATGATATTGATAATAATTATATAATAATCCTGTTGTTTTTCCTGCGATTTTTAGATGGTCTATCTCCCTATCCGAATGGTTGCTGCTTAATATCTCGATCTGTTGCTGGTTTATCTCTAAGTCTGAGACAAGCCCAAACACCCTCTGGTAATCAAACATGGCACTGGAAAATCTCCCTCCAATTATCGATGTTTTCTCGTTCAAATATGTTGAAATGCCCATGTGCAGAGGATTATGCTTCATGTGGAGGTTTCCTACAATGGGGGTACCCCCAAATCATCCATTTTATGTGTGGGTTTTCCACTATAAACCAGCCAGCTATTGGGGTAGCCTCATGGAACCCCCAAGCTTCACCGGGATGGGCCAAATCTATCACCATCGCCGAGTCGCATCCATCCTGGCAGCCACTTTGCTGAGCTCTTTCAGCCGCACGGACGACAACAACAAGCGTGCACCGACGCTGAAATCTTCGCCTGGGATACCAGGCTTGGCGATGCCCCCAAAACATTGGCGATGCCCCCAAAACATCCCAAAACGATAGCTGAGTGATGTTTGAAACCAGTTTCACTATGGTTTATGATGCATTCGACATATCTGCAGATAGCGGGCTTTACAAACTTGTAACTGTGGAGCACCAAATCGCTGTTTGCTGTGAGAGTTAATCCCTCAATGTTTGCGTTTTTGCACTCCTCCAGTTAATGAGAGGTGTCCTCCTTTAATCACACATGGCTAGCCTAGCTGGGAAAATCATTGAACTGAATGATTTTTTTGTTTTCCTTTTTTGTTTTCCCAGTAAGCCATGTTTGATTATCAAAGGGTATATTCTATTCTATTCCATTGACTTGTAGTGCATTTTATTCCATTTATTTCCATTACAGTATATAGACCCCCTCAGATCCTGTCGATCATGTGTCTAAACAGTCTTTCCCATAAAATCCAAAAGTTGTCCTCACATGGTGCAGTTCGCTTCGATTTGGATGCTTCCAGCGGCCCCTTCTCCAAGCAATCGGGCCTTCTCCCGAACCACGATCATATTGACCCAGACAAATGTCACATGAACCGCAGCCTGGCGGGAAATGGCCAAGTTTTGGGGGAGACGGAGATACCTCGTGATGGTCATCCAAGTGAAGCTCTACTTCCTTACCTGCTGGGGTCGTTGTTTCCCAAAGCAAAAAACGGTGTCACCCGGTCTGTCCTTCGATCTGCCTGGGGTTTAATCATCATTTTACCCAGAAAAATAAATACGATTTGGGGACATCCGCTATCCCTTTTTATTTACTATCACAATTCTGGGAGTGATTCTGGTGCAAGATTTCCATATTAACATGCAGATCTTCAGAGATGTAGAGACTGTGAGGAATAGCTGAAAGTAAGAGTTAGAATAGAAAAAACAACATTCATTTTGATAAATAGGATGTTCCATTATCAAGGGGTACCTTCCTTTTTGGGGAAAGCTCCAACCATGGCATGTAAATTCAATATTCCGCCTTCCAAGGGCAGCTCGTCTTCACACTCGTAGTATCGAAGGAGCCGGCGCCAGCGGCAACTTTTCTTCGAAGTGACCATGTCTTTCAGGGTCGAACGTGAGGCAAACTCTACCTGCAAGGGGCGACAGTCAGTTCGAGAGACTCTGCGCATGGCAAAAAAACTGTTTATATATTTGGGCGTTTCAACAACAATACCACACAAATTTCATGGTTTTATCATGGTTTTATCGTTGTCTTATGATGTTTTCATATGTTTTCTGCCTCAAATACGGCTTAAGATTGAACAACTTTGAATACTCCAAACCCAGACAAAGCCATATATATATATCTCTGTGAGTTGTGGACGCCTGGCGATCCTCTTCGTCCATCTCCTCCAGCCTCAGGGCATTTAGCCCCAATGATAAACCATCCCCAACACCCAAACAAGACCACAACATAGCAACAATGGGCTGTATGGGTATGTCTGAAAATGGGGTATACCCCAATTATAGCCATTTAGTAGGGATAATGATCATTAACCATTGGGTGTAGGGGTACACTATTTTCAGACAAACCCGTATGTGGTTAAGTTTAACCATTTGGGATGGTAGGTTGATTGGTGCATCCCAATTTTTCAGCGCCATTGAGCTGCCAGGCTCTCTCGTAAAGCATCTGCCGCTTTCGAAGAGCTGGGCCCAGCAACTGTTACCTCAGAGACCACCCAGATGGGGCGACCCAAGCTTAGCCAACAGCAGGACACCCCCAGTTCAAAACCATAAATCCATATAAATCCTGTAGTTGTTGGAACTACAAACTCACTATATATATCACTTGCCTATCCTTTTTGGGGCAGGGGCAGACCCTTCGTTTCCAAAACCACTGGTGGTCACGCCAAGACGCTGTAGAGCAAGACGCATCGAGAAGTGAAGCCGTCGCGGCCGGCGCGACCAATGTGATTTACATACCTCGACGGAGGTCAGAAGGGAATGGAATGTACCCTCTGGTAAACTAACATAGCTATTGAAAATGGCCATTTATAGTGAGTTTTCCCATTAAAAATGGTGATTTTCCATAGCTATGTTAGTTTACCAGAGGGTATGATGTTGTATTCCTCCAATCATGGGGATATACACGGATATGCTGGGGCTGCTGGAATATCAGCAATGTGATTTGGGGTTTGCCAGGGTGTGTCCGAAAAATCCGGTATATCACTCAAAATGGCAAGTTGAATAAGGAAAATGATGATGTAGAGGTACCGGGCACACTATTTTCACACAAATCCATGTAACTGCAATGTTACCCGCGAATCACCAAGCTCTGTTTTTTTTGAGGGCTATACCTTAGCGGCAATCCCATCCGGCACCGGAGCTTCGTACTTTTCGAATCTGATGGCCGTGAATCTGAATCAAAAACAATCTCATCTTCTCTGATGTGGTATGGCATGATGAATCATGAGTTTAAACAGTAAAACATCGTCATCATAGAATGAATAGATTCATCGCCATACAATTATCAAAAAACACACACTGATTGCGCCGATTCTGCTCTGTTCAAAAAATATTACGAATGCATACGAATGTCAAATGCCAAATGCTTTCACTTTTCTTGGAACAGAGATACGTAAGGAATAGAGAAAAAGCGTACTCAGAAATCCGCTGAAATAGAAACATAACTCTGTGGCAGCTGTTCTTCAGCTGCCAAGTGGTTCAAAATTTCATCCAGAAGTACCTCAAGAACTGGTGGGATATATCACACGATATCCAACATCCTGAGAAGTTTGTTGGGGCGGTAATGAAAAATCGAATTGCCACGATGGGGAACCAGGCCCACAATGGGATTTTTCAGGGCTCTTTGTTGTCAAAATAAACCCTAAAAAAAGGATCAATCCATATCAGCTACTTTAGAAATAACTTCAGATATACGGTATATGGTATACGTATAATTATCATTAATTATCAATATGTTCAGATACGTCATAAATAGTTTCAAGCCTTTTTAAAAATCGTTTCAGATTACTTCTAAATAGTTTCAGCCTATGGGGATCCCAACAGGCCACCGCACCCCGTTGTGGCTGCCCTACATAATTATAACCGCTTCGGAGGGTTATGAATCTGGGGTTGAATTTACCCGCTAAAGGTCCCCATGTTGCCTCATTATTTGCCTGTTCTTTCCAATCAAGGTGGGTTCTGTCCGGCTTAACTGCAGTTGCTGTATCATTCTGCGTGATATTGCACCACATTTACATGCATAAACTCCCTTCGACATAGCGCTATCATGAGCTCCTCAAACCTGAATCCAAACCAATATTTCAGCGTTGCCTGAATCTAAACCAGCATTTCTGGAGTATTGCACAATGGTTCACCATGTGCATCCATGTGAACCCCTTCCAGGCCCTTCCATTGCGTCCTCGCTACATCTCGAAATTCACCGGGGGCTCCCAGTGGACGATCAAGCGGATGTCGGCCTTATCAATGCCCTGTCCATACGCATCAGTGGCCACCATCAAATCGATCTCCTTCGATTGAAAGTCCTGGGGATTTTTGGAACGAGGAGGGCGCTGATGCGGCTGGGTATTGACTGGCTGGCTATTCTGTGAATAAATGTGGGCAACATTGGGCAACCAACTCACAAAGACTCACAAGTCATAACTCCGGTCAACCAAAAAAAAGTATAAAGATTTCAGAGCCATCGAAAGAAAATGAATCGATCGAAAGTCAAGACATGTCAAGTCAGCAGTGGCAGGTCAAATCTGGGGCAGGCGTGAATCAATCTGAACATTTTCTTGATGGCTCCGGAGAAAACAACAAATCATGAATTTGAGGGACGATTCCCAATATATACGAGTACCGACCATAATCTAATTTGAGGCCCTTGTGAGGTTGCTATATAGGCCAGGTGTCCAAATTAATTGATGCTCTTGATGCAGGTGGCGTTTCACCATCCATGTAGCCAATGGTCAGAGTGAGTCTACCTGTAGTTGGACGCTTGAAAACGTGGCAATTGAAAACCCACATATATATATATATATATATGTATGTATGTGTGTGTATGTGTGATTTTCCCAGCTAGAAACCTCCATTTATTGAGAATTTCCGAGCCACGTTTGATTGCCGGAGGGTATCGAAAAACTATCGCAGCACCAGTGTCACTGACCAATGCTGATAAGGGGGGATGCTCCTGACAACCCGCTCTGAGTAGGAAAATCATCGAACGTGACACGGGGAGGTTTTCTAGCATTCAAACCAGGTGTGATGACCACAAGGTATAATCCACACTAGTCCACCACATATATATATATATATGCACACATACATACATACCATACCATACAATACCATACCATACCACATCACACCACACCACTACATTACATGACATGACATGACATTACATTACATTGCATTGAATTGCATTGCATTGCATTACATTACATGCATACAAACACATATATATATAATATATAATATATGTAAATAATATATATATATATATTTATTTACAATTATATATTATTATTATTATTATTATTATTTAAGATTGAATAACATAGTGGAATAGGTTGGACAACTAAAGTGGAATATTTCATGGAATGTAACGTTAAATATCATGGAATTCCCCGTGTTGTCGCCCCCAAGGTACGTTCTTCAAGAGACTCAGTGAGACGTCGCCGCACCCTGGAGATGAAACGGGTTGGCATGGCTTGCTGCCAGAACTTGGGTTGTACAACCAACAATCATGGAGATGAAATGGAAATGGGATAAATATATATATATTATAATTATAAATAGTTAAATAGTATTGAATATGGAGGTGTCAGGTGTCCTAAAATATCTAAAATGGGGGTATAGGCCCTAGTTATCATCCATTTATATCCATTTTATGTTCGGATTCTCCATGTTTGATTTTTGGGTACCACAGTGGATCGGAACCCCCCATATGATGTTGGGTGTGTGCGAAAATAACCTTGATGACCCGAGCGCCTTCTTGCATCTGGTTTAGTGGGCACGTACACCACTGCCTGTGAGCGAAGGAATACCACGAAATCACCATGATAGAATTTTTAATGATACACCATGATACACCACGACCCAAAGAAACAAACTCAAATCGTCACAAAAATGATCAAACACGTAGGTTCATTTGGCAGAGCTGAGCCGCGTCAAGGAGCATTTATTCCGTCCAGGGGACAGAGTGATTTCGTTTGCAGTATCTGTCTGAATATCCACCAGTGTGACGCAGCTACAATTTGTCCATGGATGTCCAGCAAGGTGATCCTCTGAAATGTCCAGAGTGGGTCATCAAGCATCGACCAGTTTGCAACTCCATTACAGTGGCCAATATCACACCTCCACATGAATAGTGCCCAAATTCCCGGTCGTCAACATGCCTATTTTTGTCGTGTGAGTTATCAACCACCGCTTCAATGCTGCAGAGCGACGGGATATGCACCATGCTCCAGCAATTCCAAAACCTTCTGCAACTTGCGTTCCTCCTTGGCAAACGCCAAGCAACTGCTGCAAAGAAACCCTCAGGCGGGATTGGATTGGACACCACAATAGTGATCATGATAAAGGTGAGAACGATTATGACCTTCAAATGATATAAGTTTTATATATGATATAAGGGATCATGAAACAAATCAAGAATAAAAAGAATAATGGTGATGATATGTTGATGATAAGGACGATCCTGGCTACCCGTATGATCGCAAGGACAATCATAATGCTCATGACAATGGCAATGACAGCGGTCACCCTCATGATGGTCATCACGCTGATGATGGCAGTAAAGATTACTTGAGAGCAGGCGGAGGCGGACGAAAGGTAGTGTAGTGGGAGAGGAGTGGTGTCAAAATGTTGCGCCCCTAAGATGATACACCAAAAACTTTTTTGCGCAGTCTAAGATGATTTTATCCAGAGCATGACTGCATGATACGGTGTCTTGTGCAGCGTGAAATGATGCACGAAAAGGGGTTTATTTAAAACCCCTTTTTAAAACCCCTTGCAGCAACTGTTATTGAAGCTGAAGCAAACCAATTATGCTGGACTACAGGGACATCTCCCTCATGGAAAGTGTGCCTCTAATGTGGGGGCCCGTGACCGCGTCACCCGTGGGAATTGAACCCATGACCATTTTCGGGGGGCCCCCCCCTTATAATTGATATCCAATACATAACGGCGAGAATTCCATGAATTCCACGGGCTGGCCCCCCAATACCCCCTAAGCTTGTGCTGAAGCACGGAGAACTCAGGTAGCTGACGCTACCTTTCGTGACTTGATATGTCTTGATATGGGTTTGTCTGAAAACAGGGTTTTCCAAAATTTTGCTGGTGGATCATCATTCTCCCTCTTGAATTGTTATCTGGAGGGTACCATTTTCAGACACACCCACATGACTGGATGATGAGGTTCTGTCTCGCAGCGGTGCATCTGCAGCTGCAAGTTTGGCCGAAACATTGGCCTGGCGGGAAGCGTCTGGGTCACCTCTTGGGACCGGTAGCCACAGAAGCGGATAGGGAGAGGACCTACAACATCCCCTCACTTCGCACTGGGAACTTTGCTGCTGGGATAGTCAGTATATGTCAGTATTCGTCTCTGCCAGGTGACCAAAGCTGCTTTCCCTGTGACGACAAGCTTCATGCGACTAGATCCCTTAGCCCTTCCCTGTGGCAACTTCAAATCCCAGTCCAGCGGCCTTGTACTTCCTTAGCTACAGCCATGTCCGAGGAGGGATGTTTGGACTTGATTTTCTGATGTGTTCATGATATGGGGGGTTCTTATGTGGGGGATCCCAAGGTCACCATGAGTTTCTTGATACTAAATTGGTCCAGTGACTTGGTGTTTTTGGGCCCCCCATGACTTAGGAAACCCCCACATGTTCCCAGCTGGAACCTGTTAAATCCGTCATCCCTACGGCATCCCAGGTAGGATTGAAAATTAGAAATCAGAAATAATATACATATTATATATATATGCATATGTATAATACATATATATATATATATTATATATATAGGTATATTAATAATTATATAATATATCAAATATATATATCAAATAAATTCAAATAAATTCAAATAAATTCAAATAATGTATTTCAAACATATTCAAAGCACCAGCCATGAGTTCTATCCCAAGGAATTTCCAGATATAGATCCAGCATCGAAGCGGATTCTGCAGCTTCAAGGAGTGACGAATGAATTTCTGACGCTTTGGAGGCGCTGTGCCCGAGAGGGCTAAGATGGGCACGGAGTCGTACCTCGGTGGATCACCAGAAATGGGGCATCCTGGCAGCTGGCATCCTGTCATTGTAGTGGGAAAATGATCATATAAATGATGTATGTATATATATATATATTATATTATATTATGTATATGTATGTCATATTATATATATTTCAATGATGGTAAGCCACGGGGATTTTGGAATACCATGTTTTCAGACAAAGCCAGATTTGAACACCGTGATTTCCTTTTCTCAGCATGTCTTCGAACAAGTGGCGCCTCCCTGAGCCACGACAAATCTTGAAAAGCTGGGCGAAAGCTCTGACCCCAGAGAGGAATATAACACGCTTCATCCACCGCGAACATCGAGACACGCTCACCTGGGAGAGGGAACATCGCACAGGAGGTGAATGGATTTGAAACTATCAAAGATATGGATAGATATGGACATAGGTCCCCTGATAGCCCAAGACTTGCGCGGGCCCGCGGGCTCGCGGGCCTCCGCGGGACCTTCGCGGGCTCTCCGCGCGGGCCCGAGGGTTTTCAGGTCAGCATTTTATCGTCTATATCTTCTTGCATTCTGTCTGGCATCTGTGTCTAGCAAATCTTTTCCGGTATTTATTCTGGCAATCCAACAAATATTTTCAAATATATTCTGGCATAAAGTGACATAGTCGGACCCGCGCGTTCTTTCTGGCATATCTTTTGGCGTGCTATCTGGCATATGTGTCTATCTGGCATAACTTCTGACAATTCAAGGCTGCCATGCTATGGCATCTCTTTTGGAATTCTTTCTGGCATACGTGGCTATTGTGTCTTCTCACTTTCAGTGTGGCATTCTATCTCACCCAGGCGCTTGTGATCCAGGTCCGGCGGGCACCACTCTGATCCGGGTTTTGCGGTTGAGGTCAGGCGCGGCGAGGAGGACAAGAAGGAGGAGAGGAGTGGCTGACATAGAATCTCACAACCCGGAACATGCAGGTGAAGGGACAACACTAACAAAGTGAAAGAAGCACATGGAAGCACGATACAGGCAGCACAGTCCCTGTCCGCTATGGTGTTTTATTCAATCAAAGGGCATGGTCACGCGGTATGAAGTTCCAAAGATTCAAAAAATGAGTGAACTTAAATCATCTTAACCTCTCCGTGTGGACTGAACCCTTGCCTGTTGCTCCCTCCAAAACTCCAAGTTTCTGTACAATCACAGAAAAGCGATTCATGAGCGCCGTCATGCAAAGTAGAGGTCAGTTCGGGCTCTACAAAATCACATGGGTCAAATCAGACCTTGCATTCACAAAATCCCAGCCTACGCCTACAACGCCATTTTTTCAGTGCACTTTTGGGTGGGATCCTCACAAATTGATGACCCCAGGATGCTGGCACCGCAAGGTTTGTCCAATTGAACCCATTTGCAATATATTTCATAATACTTCTCCAGAGGCTATTTTATAATACTCACTGGTCTCGTTTTAGGTATGGGCGCCTCTAAGAGGCCGTGCTTTTTTGAGGTTTTTGGGGTGGGGTGGGGTGGCAGGTAGTTGCAATATCATTCATGTCTCTTGCGTGCAAGTTGATGCGACGTGGATGCTACGTTGATGTTACGTTGATCATACTTTGATGCTACGTTGAGGAGACGTTGATGCTACTGTTGCGGTTGGGTGGGGTGGGGGGGTGCAATAACGTTCATGTATCTCTTGCTTGCAAGGTGATGCGACGTGGATGATACGCTGATGATACATTGATCATGCGCTGTTGATACGTTGATGCTAGGTTGATGGTACGTGGATGATACGTTGACGTTAGGTTGATCATGCGTTGATGATACGTTGATCATGCGCTGTTGATACGTTGACGTTACGTTGATCATGCGTTGATGATACGTTGATCATGCGCTGTGGATACGTTGATGTTACGTTGATCATGCGTTGATGATACGTTGATGATACTTGGCCGCAAAAGCGGCTGAAACAAAGACGTCGGCAACGCAGAAGAAAACGCGTAACGCTGTCTTTTCCAAGCTGATGGCTTTCGTCCCACAAAAACCATTAAAATCACACCGTGACTCTCATTTTTCCATACCCTTCCATGACTTTTGATACACCCACAAAATATAGATATCTGTGAAAAACCGCTCTCGTTGTGGCAAAACCTGGGAACATAATTGAATAGAAACATATCCATGTGCTGAAACACACGGCCTCTTAGAGGCGCCCTTACCTTTTAGGGTCTAGATCCGTGGGGTTTACATCAGCTACCTTTTTCAGCTAAAGTAGGATGTCTCAAAGCAGCCTCAACTGAGACATCTTGAACACTGTCTAAGGTCAACAATGCCATATCGTGCTTCCAAAAATTGCTCAGAATTGCTCGACATGACCCCAACTTGCCCGACAAAAATGCTCAAAATTGTTTGAAATTTGCTCGGAAAGACCCAAGCTGGTCCACAAAAACGGCTCCAAAATGCTCAAAATTCTTCAAATTTGCTCAGAATGTCTCAAAATGTGCGAATGTTTTCATCACTTTGCATTGCTGTTGCCGGTCTCTAGTGTTGCACGGGCTTAAGGACTAGCGCGGGCCCGATAGCCCAAGACTAGGGCTTCCGCGGGCCCGGGCACACGGTGGACCATAGCCTAGATATGGGGGGTTCCTAAAATGGAAGTACCCCCAAATTTATCCAGACCATTTTTGAATTGAAACATATTGAAACATATTGAAAGCATGTGCCTTGCCGCCTTGCAACTACATGAAGCAATATGAAGCAATCGTGACTTTTTCTACGTGCTGCCAAAGATCGATCACGCAAATGAAAGAAGGCCTCACAACGATGCCATGGATAGACATTGGGCACCTGTCTAGTTGCGAACCATCAAACAAATTCAGATGTCAATACAAATCATAATCAACCATTGAAACATAATGTAACATAATCCCATTCCACTATAGTATTGAACACCCCCATTGTATGGTCCCAAATATGCGGTTTGGTTAAGGGAGGGGTTTAATATGAGCGGGGAAGGGATTAATTAACATGTCTGCTTTATCGCCTTCCCAAGGGTCTCACACCATGTTGCTCAAGCTGAGGATGTTGCAATTCACTTGCACTTGGGGTCTCAAAATCTGGAGCCATGGTTTCAAAATGAAAGACACATCGAAAGCGTTGCGCCTCCAAATACTTCTGTGTCAACGATTCCGGGCACAGATAGACTAAACCTCAGTCTATGGCCATGGCTGGTTTGGTCGTGGCTCTTGGATGCTTTTGGCTGCTTGTCAGTCTTGGCTGCCCACTGCAACACACAAATGACAAGATTTACAAGCAACAATGACTTTGCTTCATGAGATAGCTGAAGTGATTTCAATCGTGGCAGCAAAGCAAGACTTGCAGTGCTATATCTTGCGCTGGGTTGTGTCGAAGGACTTCATACTTCATACTAGTGGTCATTTGCCAGGTGTCCACATATACACAAACAGACAATCCCAACAATTACACACAAGGTATGACAACTCATTGCATTTGAAGCCACCAACATCCACCAACTTGCAGTCGCCATTTTTTGTGCTGAGCAGCAGCATTGCCCTCGCACTGCCTGGTCAATGATCTTCTCATCTTTCTGTGCAGATCCCAACAGACATGCTTGGAATGGTGCATCTTCATCATCGCCATGTGTGCGATGAAATTCCTCTGCCCTGGCATTGAATTTCTGGACTTGGTCCTGGCATGCCAACGTCATTGGATGTGGATCCAAAATGATCCAAATCCCAACTCAACCCCTACCCTTAGCTCAACCTACAGCCCCTCCTGCAAGACCGGAATGGTCGGCTCCACCACCAGGACAATTCCTCGCTTCCGTTGCCAGCTGAGAAGGGCGAATAATTGGTAGATCAAGGATTTGCCGGCAGCTGTGGGCCAGTAGATCTCAGAGTGCTGGAAATTCCGCGGTGGAATACATGGAAGACAACAAATCCCTGATAAAAATGGGTCAAAGCAGCAAAATCTTGAGGTCAACACTCTATACATGCATGTTAAATAGGTAAATTGTGGTAAATGCAGGGTCTATATCGGCGGTAAAAAATTCTTTGTTGGTCACTTTTAGTGTAGCATCCCAAAATGGAGCCAACGATCAGGTGAGATCTTCATTTGATCAACCACCCATTTGGGAATGGTTTCAATCCCAGCTATAAAAAATGCTGACTGGGGGACAGTGCAAATGGCATTGTTTTACCCACATGAATTACTTTGCATGGGGAAAATGAGGATTAAGCATGGGGATTCGGGGGATACAGTGCCTTCATGTTTTAGGCCGTTCGCAGCGTCTCCTGACGATTCAAGGCACTCCTCAACACCTTCTCCTGCTCTGGGCGAAAAGCATCGTGGTCAAAGAAATCCTGGCGCTGCATTAAAAACGGATCGGTGGTTTCAGCCATACACTTTACAGGGGAATTTGGCTACTCTGCATTTCTGATCACTTATTGTAACACATTGTATCACACTTGTTTGTATAGTATGAACATGGTTTGGAGATTGTTCTCTCACTGTCAATAGCACAAAACAAAAAGCAAGCATCAGCATCAGTGAAACAAATCACGTCTTTGGTAGCAAGATGTTGCAAGCATACAAGCAGAAAAGAATGCACCGCCAACCAACACCAATAAGGGCAACGCATATTTTTCAGAGAGTTAGCCAGAGAGTTAGCCGGAGAGTTTGCAGTTTTTAAATAACATTCTCAATGAGTTGGTCCAAGACAAAAATGACAAAACTATGGTTGAAACAACGTTGTTTGTTTCTTCCAATGATATTATATATACAGTAGATATATCAGCAGTTTCTTGTTAAACGACCCTGAAAAACCAATCCCAACATGTTATGCATTCATCATTCATGAGATACCATCCAAACATTCGTATGTCTATCCACATCATTGATCTGTTCCTGTTGTTTTTTGCAGCTCCCTGAGGTACATCCCTGATGGGACCTGGTGCTGTTGACAACCCTTCGACCCTTCTTCTCCTTCAACAACTTGCGTGCATCCTTCACTAGGCTCTCAAGCAGCTCTGGCCACTCCTGGCGCTTGCGAAAGCTGCGACAAAGCTGATTTTCTGAAGCGAGTCCTCAATGAAACCAATAAACATGGCGTATCATGACATGATCTTGATCTGACGCAAGCACAAGCATGTTCGCACATTTGAGATGTTGCATCCTCAGGGTTCTTTGCCCCCCACCATTGCCATGCTTCCACAGTGCCTTAGTGCAATTCAAAGCACTCCAGCTCAAAGGTTTCAAAGTCCAAACAAGTCCAAACAAGTGCAAACAATTTCCCAAAGCCAACACACTGCTGTCGTGCAAATTAATCATCAGGTTTGCAAATTCATGGTTTTATAATGTTTTATACTATCTGCACTGCAAGGAAGACAAGCAGGCCAACACCATGTCCCACCGTCACCTCTGAATTGGATAATTACAGTGAATTGGTCAAAAATCAATGCTCAAGGACCTGCAAAAGTTTGGGAGCTCTCCATTTTGGGGTTCCCTGAGGTTCCCTGAACCGCCCCAAATCAATCCAGACGCCACATTCCTTGCTGTGAGATTGAAGCCTTCGCGCCGCGAAAACGCTGCGGCTTCGGCGATGGCAACATCGCTGGGCCACCAAGATTGCAGTGCTTCCCACGCATCGAAACTCGCCCACGCATCCTGCAATGGGGATGCCAGGGGATGCCAAAGCAACAACATTTGAAGAGGGAAGCTGATCATCAAATGGGGATCCATGGTTGTCAAACATGAATTAACTATTAGCAGCTACTAGCAACATTTAAATAGTTGATAATCAACCAGTGGATGGGGATCCATGGGATAGCCATTTTTCGAACATCATCCTCCGCCTGCGGCCTTGCCGTTGCCGCCGAAGCGCAGCGCTGGTTCCGCTGGTTGTTGTAGCGCTCGGAAAGGTTGGAGCAGCATCCCATGCAGCTGATCAGTGGTCAAGATATGTCAAGATGGTGTCCCAACATTCGAACATCAAATGATAAAACACCTGATTGATATTGTGAAATATTGCGATATATATATATATATATATTTATAATAACATGTCATGATATTGTTAAACACCTGATTAATCAACTAACCAGTGTCAAGTGATATTGTGAATTATGTTTATGATATAACACCTGATAGATAGCATATAATGTTATTTTGATGAATGCTAATTATCTATAGCATTGATAAAATGTTATCATTTATTATCATGACATAATGTTGATGGAATTAGATATGCGTCTCAAGATATAATTATATATATATACGTATATATGTCGATGTAATTCATTGTGGACTCCTGTTGATTAATTAATGAAATTGATGGTATGATGATATTCATGGTACATATATATATAATAATAGAGTCTGTAATGATGATATAAATATGATCGATGGGAATTGATGGCCCCCACATTCAATTCCATATAATTCCAGGTAGATATCAAAAAATGGCAACCATCCCATGAACATTCGATAGGTAAGATGGAAAACAAATGATGTTTGCGATTCCTTAGGTCATAGATTTTGAATGATCTTGGCCCACACCCTTGCAAAGATTGTTCCGGAATCCCCACGTAGCATCTGAAAATCTCTGTTCTGTCATGATGCGCAATGCAACTAGTCTTCGGCGGGCTGATGCCTGTGAGAGGTGCATCTTCACACCTTCAGAAGCAGTAGACAAATCATTTCAAGTCTGCCAAATCTGGGGCACAACACCCAATTGTAGAGAGAGAGAGAGAGAGGAAAAAAAAACATGGTGGCTAGGTCAACATTGTGCGCTCAAAGATTGCAGGTCGCTCTGGGCCATTTTTTTCACCGCGCCCCGATCACGCAGTTCATTTTCCCGCCAGGATTTCCCATAAAGCTGGGCCGCAGGCAGCAAAACCGCTGCCCACCACAACAAAGGGAAACAAGGCGCCTAGTGCTGCAAGAGAGCGTCGCCAACTCAGTTGGCTCCCCTGGCAAGATGGCAAGGGACTCATGTGGTTGGGGTATGGACCTAAAAGTAGTTGGTCTCACGTCAAATCTGGGACATCTATGGATCGCCGTTGCGGTACCTGCTCAATTCTTCCAAAGATTTAAGATAAATGAAGGGTTTGGAGACCAGTCGAACTCTGCCTGTCAGCATGCAAAGCATGTACGAAAAAGGCCGCCCCAGGGATTCATGAACAGTTTTATTATAGACGAGGGTCCCCAAAATAATGACAATTCAAACATAATATTCAAACCATAGATGGTATCCGGCACCCAGAAACCGCAGCATCTATTTCCCGCACCTCCATAAGATATGCCGTACCCAATACGAAGAAAGGCTGCGCTGCCAACATCCATAGGCCAGGGCCCCTACCGAAACAAACGGACTGAATCTAAAGTGATCGAAACACAAGTGCAGCCAGCGGCGCCTGGAAAACATAAACCCCTCAGCTGCCAGGACAACCACTCCGGCCACCAATGCCACCTGGGGCAAATCATCCATGGTGCTGCTATATTTAGGGTTCAGAAGTTCAGAATAGGTTTTGGATTTTTTTTTGGCTTTCTTTCCTGGTACCATTTGCCTTGTATTTGCAACAGGTTGGAACTAGAATCTGTCATTTTGCATGGTATTTGCTACATTTTGGCATGGTTACTTTGCATTTTACATGGTATTTGCTATGTTTGGCCATGTTTGCCCTCCATTTTGCATGGTGTTTGCCACGTTTTGGCACTTCAACCTCTCATTTGCATGGTATTTGCTACATTTTGGTACTTCAAACGTTCATGTGGGTTTCTCGAGAGTTTCTTTAGGCTTTCATTTAGGGTTTCATGTAGGGTCTCTTATCAAGATTTCTTATCAGGATTTTCAAACGTTCATGTGGGTTTCTTTAGGGCTTCTTGAGGGTTTCATTTTGGGTTTCATTGAGCGTTTCATTAAAGGTTTCATTTAGGGTTTCTTTTGGGTTTCATTTAGGGTTTCTTTAGGGTTTCATTTGGGGTTTCTTTAGGGTTTCGTTTACGGGTTCTTCAGGGTTTCAGTTTGGATTTCATTCCGGGTTTTTTAGAGTGTCGTTTAGGGTTTCTTTCAGGTGTCATTTAGGGTTTTGTTCAAAGTTTCTTTAGGGTTTCATTTATGGTTTCTTTAGGGTTAATCTATGGTTTCTTTAGGGTTTCCTGCAGGGGTTTCTTATCAGGAGTTCTTATCAGGATTTCTTGAAGGTTTCTTTGGGTTTCACCTAGGGTCTTTAGGGTTTCATTTACAATATTTACAGTATATAGGATACAAACAGGAGAGAATAAAGCAAAAGAAAGGGAAAAACAAAGAGGCGGTAAAGACAGGAAGCAGAGAAGCAAAGGAGCAGGAAGTAGAGCAGCAAAAACACATGACTGAAGAAAAGAAGAAGTAAAATAGTAGAAGTAGAAAGGCACAGAAGCAGGAAAAGCAAAAAGCAGAGAAGCAAAGAAGCAGAAAAGCAGAGAAGCAGAACAGCAGAAAAGCAGAACAGCAGGAAAGCAAAGAACCAGGAACCCAAAAAACAAAACCTGCTGCAAAAAAAAATAGCCCTCCCTATATTTACCTACATTTACCCCACCTTCATCTTAGCAAAAGGATAGGTCTGCACAAAAATAGGGGACACCCAACATTGCTATTTTCTTCAATAATTAGATGGAATAATTATGAAGTTGTCTGCAAATAGGGGTCCCAAAGTGCTTTATCATCGTTTTTCTTGTTGTAATGGCAACTCTAGGGTATACCCATAGATATAATATATTTGTATATATATACGTACAATTACAATCAATTACATATAATATATTTTAATATCATTACTACATATTCGCGGGCAAACCTTGACTTAAATCCCAGCAGTTCACCGTGCGCACCATGCGCACCATGGCATGGTCAGCCCACCTTCAATTTCCAGATTCCTCTGCGTTGAGCCTCTCGAACCTCCTCTGCATGGTAGTCCAGGCATAGCAGTGGTGTGTACCCCAGATATGCCACCACCATGAAGGCACAAAAGACCAAGCGGATGATCCAAGTGATGGCCTTAGTTGATGCAGCTTCTTTGGTCCCAAAATTAATATCAATGATAACTATCTATAGTTGACAATAGTTGATAGTATGTGGATAGTAGTTGATAATAGTTGCTAACTGGTGATCATTGGTGATTGGTGATAATAATTGGTGATACGTATCCTCATTTGTTCAGATCTTTCGCTTCCCCCAAAAAGGCCGGGAAAAATGGCGAGCCGCAGTTTCTTTGGGCGGTGGAGGTGGCGGTTTCCCGTGCGGTGGGGGAGGAGGAGCTCGACCATTGGCCCAGTGCTCCAAGGCAGCCTGACCCGCAGGAGTTAGCAAACCGATGACGAACCTGAGACTGGGCCAGGGATTCCTCCCAAAAATGAAAGAATCAAAGGAAAATTGGGGATGTGAAGCTTTGTAAAATCTCAAGAAATCTTGGGATGACAAAGTCTTGGAAACTGAGCTGAAAGCATGGGATCTTAAAGTCTAGAGTCTAGGGAATAACTTCTTTGGACATGAAATAATGTTGCAGACAGGCGAAAACAACTAATAGGCTTACTAATAGGGGATGTTGGGATTATAAATTACAAATAAATAAACTGAGGAAACCTGGAAACTGAGCTGAAACGCTGGGATGTTGCAAAACATCAAGATGTTTTGCCGGACCACTATGTGTATGCGACCTAAACTTAAGATACTAACCTGATGTTGAAAGCTACCACTTGGGATACCTAAGGATATGCGTATATCAGGGAACCACAGGAAAAACAAAACATATCCGGGGACTAAAGAAAAAAAAACAATTAAGGTCGTTGAATTTCTTCATGTTTCGGATGAGTAGCGATCATGAATCAATCTCTGTGGTTTGCTCCAAAGCTGTGATAATAAAACCAGGATCCTTTGCCATCGGTAGGACAATGTGCATATTACTATAGGATGGACAATGTGCATATCTATATTATATATATACTAATACACATGTGTCTCTGTATGTGTATATATATATTTACATATATAAGCATAAATACCTCATAATGCAGATCAATATCATCCATTATGTATTTTAATCCGTATTAAATATCATACAAAAAAAATATATATCATAATCATTCATAATCCATATATTTATATATCCAATGTCATATATATATATAGTAGTCAACTAGTGTCATAAGCAATCCAATTTCATATACTAACCAGAGTTCCAGCATCGACGAGCATCGACCCTGAGGAACTGACACCACCAGAAAGGCAGCTCCGAAGGTCACACGACTGATGGCAGCTGCATGCATCAACTCTGTGTCTTTGCCTAGGAAGACGGCCATGGAATCCAAGAGGGATTCGAAACCAAGGCACAAGAAAGTGAATATATATATATATATGGAAATTAAATAATTATATATATATGATTATAGATGAGAAAATGATGTAGTAGGATTGTAAAAATATATGATGTATACATAGTATTACATAGTCACATATTATATCATATATATATACACTATATATTACATATATATATATATGCAAATTAAATAATTATATATATGATTATATATGAGAAAATGATGTAGTAAGATTGTAAAAAATATACCATGTATACATAGTATTACATAGTCACATATTATATCATATATATACACTGTATTATAATTATATATTATATATTACATACATCTCAGAACATGTTGGCTGTTTCAAACCATCCCAAAGGTTGAAGCAAGTTTCGGCTCATTCGGAACAAGAGATTCCAGTCGCCCACCATGTACCAAATCCTTGGGAGCATCCAACCATCGGGTTTGTCCAAAAGATCCAAAAGTGAGGGAACTTGAAAACAAGTTGATCCAAAGTCGAAAAGTCATGAGAAAGAACTGCAATTTTAGAGGTAATTAATTAATATTAATTATAGTTAAGTGTAATTATCTCAGTTTCAGTGTACCAAATCCACTGGTTCACTGTGCAGCAAGAATCTGGATCAAGATCGCAACCTCGCAAGACCTCACCGTTCTGTTCCTCTCCTGCGCGCTGACTGGACTCTATCGATCCCAACGGTTGATTTAAAAAAAACTGTTATCTTTGGACTTGTCCATGAATAATTAGCCATTTTGGAATACATTCCATCCAAAAAAAACATCACCAACTATCGCCAAAGTGCCTGTTTACCCAGTTTGAAGATGGTTGAAGTATAATTATAGAGTATTTCCATTCTATCTCCATTGCATCCCGCGCCACCCATGGCCTCCGTTTTTCCCCTCGCATCTCCTCCGCGTCGCCGTCCGAAAGGAGTGCGGAGCAAAGGGAGAAGAGATCCGTCAGCACGGTCCCGACGAAGCCACCGGAGTAGCAGTAGACCTGAAGACCCCTGGAGACCCGACCCAAAACTCTATTGGGGGAAGGTCCATTGGGATGGTTTTCAGATCAGTTCCATGTGAGTTTGATCCAGTATAGTGTGTGTCATAGACTAATTTTATGTTTTATCCAGGTGCAATCCCTAGTTGTGTATATATGTGTATATTTGTCGTTGCTAGTCTTGCAATTAACGGTTTCTGTGGATCTGTAAATGGTGATAATCCACACAAGGTGGGGTCCCACCGGTTATGTTTGTTGGTTTTTAAACTCCAGAATGCTATATCTATAGCTTACTAGATTGTAGATCTGCGAAATCAATCCCAAACAATTACTGAACTTGCAAACCAACTTGCCAATCATGCGGCCCCCACCTTCTAGTTTACAAGATTCATGGGTAATTACCTATAAATGATCATGAAACCTTTGTTGGTTGATGGAACTATGGGAGCCTGGACCAAATATGTGGGTACTTTTTTGCGTTGGCTGTACTAGTTGGCCAAAAAGCAAACGCCAATTGGGTAGTGGGTAACTCGTGCCGAAAACCTAGCTGTAACAAATGGCAGCACACCCACCAAATTCTCGCGCGTCGCTCCACATCCAACCTCAGTTGCATCCGGTCTCAGTGACAAATAGCCGACAGGTGACAACAAATATGTAAGTCACCGTAGGAAATGAGTAAAATCTTAGTAAAACATAGTAAAACCACCCATAACTCACTTGCGGGGTGTACCAAATTAGAACCAGCGGGTACATTCGCTGTCCCCTTGGGCCCAAGATGGGTCCTTGGTGGCCCAGCGGCTCGTCACTCCGCACCGGACCGCTCTGGCAAACAGCCGCGTGAAATCCATGGCCGAGCAGAATGCAGACGGCGCAGCCCAGGATGCTGAGCCACCACAGTGGGTTCCATCGTAAGGACCAATGTCGTGTGACCTGGTGCTGAACTCAGTTCCAATGGGAGATCCCGGAATCCCCAATAGCTGGTTTAGAATGGAAAATCCTAAACATCAAATGAATTCGGGGGTACCCCCATTTTGGGAAACCTCCATTTAACACTGCCCGAAATTTCAATGTATAGGCATCTCACAGATTTTGATCAAAGAAACCTGCGGACGTCCCATATTGCCATAGAAGGGCACAATTTCCGCGAATTCCAACATGAGTTCCTCCGATTCAGTCCAAACGAAGTGTAGCTCCTGCACCGTCGAAGGGTCACGGATGGTCACGGATGGTCACGGATGGTCACGGTGCACTTTGTTTCACAGTTTTCCACCAATATCCACAAAGAACAAATCGATGTGGCCGCATAGTAATGGTATGTAATGGTATGTAATGGTATGCAATGGTATGTAATGGTTGTTGTTGAAAATTGTCAAAAAATGATGCGGCGCAGTAAGAGCAATGCTTGTGGTGTCCTGAAAACATTGCTGCTTGCAACGTGAACAACAGCTCGGCGCAGCCGTGCTGGGGCTGCTCTCAAGATCAATATCCATATCCATTGCAAAGAGACTCTTGATAATATGGTTGTGAGTGTTTGACCTTATATTCTTGCTGTATGTGTATGTGTATGTATATATATAGAGCCATTCAACATCATTTGCGACTCTCACTGGGCATGTATTCCGGCAGCATGTCAAGCCTTCTTTGAAAACGCAAAACAAGTTCTAGCGCAAGGTAGTGGATGTGCATCTCAGTTGGTTTGTTCAATGGATTGGTTTAAGGGAAAATCTACAGGAAACCATAGATTTTCCCATTAAATATGGGGCTTTCCTGTAAATTTTCCCTTAAACCAATCCATTGATTTGTGGTTCATAAGCATGCTTCTATTCCGGACATATGAACGGATCAAACACATTCCTATACCCATGCGTTGCAAAATTTCGTCTCAGCGGCTAGGCCAGGCCAAGCCCAGGTTTCTCGCAAGAGTGCTGACTAAACAAAAATTGACTTTACCTAAGTATGGTGTTGATATTTTTTGGTTGTCAAAATGGGATTGGGATGGATTGGGATGGATAGAGCTTAATCGAACATGGCCACACTCTGTGTTTTCAGGGTCTGAAATCTTGAGCCGGCGGCTGAGCCGGCGACCTTTTCAGTGCTGAGAGTGACTTAATTAGTGACTTTGCGAATCGCACCGTATTCGGATTTTTGTTCATGACAAGTCCATATATGGATTTATCTTGATTTATCTGATTTGTATTGATTTGTGGGGTAAGACCTCACAATCAAATGGTTGAAATTGATTTTCTGGGTATCCTCTCATGATTTGACAAGTTCATATACTGCATGGCCCCTTCAACGGACACCAGATTCCAACTCCGTGCTTCGGGTCATCAGCTCCATGGCTGGCAAATCCCCCCCAAAATGGAGCTTTTCATCAAAAAAAACATCCCCAATGGTGGGGATCCTAACGGTGCTGGTATATATGGTGTGCCATGGATCCCATCAATATACCCCCTTTATGTTAGTATACCAGCACCATGGATCCGTCATGGGATCTATAATATTATGATATATTATGATTATATCAATGGAAATTTCCAGCCAGCCATGTTTAATTACCGGAGGGTCTGATCTTGAAGATTCTTGTATCTTGAGATTCTGTTGCTCACAAACTCAAGAAGATTCACCTTTGATACTACTATCATCTACTATCGCTCCAAAATGTCTCAAACATGCTGTGTCCTAGTCATCATCGAAAACCCATTCCGTTTTCATCGCCATTCAGCACCTTATTGAGGCGATCTCCACAGGTTCCCATGGGTCTCCACACAGTGGGGTGCTGCGGTTGGAGCTTTGTTGGGACTCCGGCTGCGGAGTCTGCGTCTGCGGCGCTGGTGCAGCCATTGTCACAGCTATGGGAGCTGTAGCTGCGGGAACCTGCACTGTGAATGCAGAACTGCTGGGATTTTCCAATGAGGATATCAGCCATATCATGGGGATATCATGGGCATATGGGAGGAATATCTTATCATATTACAACATATTACAACATATTATAAGATGGAGCCAAAGCTCAGCATGTGACAAAACGATGCGAACATCACCCTGGCAAAACTGTTGGAAGTGCATGGAATTCAACTTGCCCATCTTGTGGATTCTACGTATCGATTGGTAGATCCCCATGTTCGTTGTTAAAATCCCATGTTGTTCAGCTTAAAAATAATGTGAGTGTTTCCAGATTAGATTCATATTCCCTCGTTTTTGCCTAGTCAACATCACCCCCCTATCTGACTCTGATCTTCACCCCACCTGCTGTATCACCTGCAGTGGTCGCATGGGTCGCATGGGCAGCGGCTGCGGCAGCGGCACCAGCCGAGGCATCACCAAAGTGGCTGAAGGAAGTATGGCCCTGGGTGCCTGGCTCAGATCCAAAAATCATGTATTGCACTGAATATATGGCAGTGTGTCAAAACCTTGTACCCCTGGTGAACATCAAAATAGCTGGTAAATGGATGTTCATCCCCCTAAAAATGGTATTAATAGGTATTGATCCATACCCATATCTGGCTGACTTATAATAATTGACTCACCTGAAAATTGCAACCCTTGGGGATGATTCCGATCCTAGCCATTATTCCAGTGAATCGTAATGAAGCCCTCAAGAGCTTGGCAATGCTTGGAATCTCCTTCGGCCATTGCAATCTCAACCCCAGGACCCTTGCAAGGTCTCATGGTACCACGTAGTCAGTTGGCGGACTTTGCAATCAAGATGAGCAGGGCACATGATTTGGTCGTAAATGCAAATACACTCATTTCCGCACACGTCAACTTCGGCCCTTTCCATGAATTCCACTTTGCACATGCTGTGCTTTGTATGTCTTCTCGCTTTACTGCTGTATAGCACCTCTTGAGTTAATAATGTTAATATGCATCTTATCTGGCCGCTGCTTTTTGAACCAAATTCACACTAAGCCGCGGCTTTCATTTTCATAGATTTGGGTGCTTTCCAAACTTGGAGTACTCCGAACCCATGGCTTTCCCCTTATAAAAAATGATCAATAAATAAAGTCCATGATAAATACTGTAGGGGTCCTCCATTTTGAGAAGCACCCACATAACATAGTTAAATCCCCAGTTTTGATGGTTAAATTACCATGTTTGAGACTAAATTCTCCAGTTTTTGGTCAAATCCATCTGTTTGATTGTTAAAATCCCTTTTGTTGATGTTGTAATCCGTATTTTTCATGGTACGGTCATCATTTGTGATGATACAATCACAATTTGTGATGGAAAAAACACCGTTTTTCCACAGTTAACTCCCCATTTGCACGAACCTGGCGCCTGGCATGGCATCCAATTCAGTGGTGAAGGCGACACTCGAGGCGAAAGCGGTGGAGATGCTCGATGGAAGCCTCATATTCCAAGGATATTGTATTGTTATTTTCCAATGGATTATGATGATGGATTATCTCAGTTTTTTTCCGTATTGTTATGCTATGATCTTTATATATAATATATGATATTGTATGTTATTGTTTAATTGGAGTATATTATAGTGTATTATATTATATATTATTGTGTAATATGATATAATATGATATAAAACATATATAATATTGATCCCATGATCTGGGGGGGTGGTCCCAATATCTGGAAATGCCATCCCCTGAATCCAATGGGTTGGCTTAGGGGAAACTTTTTCAACCAGGAACTATGCCTTTTGGCCCAAAAAAAATCGGGATTTCCGCCTAAGATTTTCCGATCAACTAAATCTGTAAATCATGCGAATGCATTGGTCATGGGGATTCAACTCCCAGTTGCTAAAAACCGCACTGGAGGGGTGTTGGTTGCAGCGAATGCCTTGATACAAATCGAGGAACGATGAGTTAAAATACTGTGAATCATCAAAATTTGTCTGGTCTGTCCATTCAGATATGGAGTAAATGATTTATAATGGACATGTTAAGTTTTGTATAACCATGAACCATTATATGTAAGAATAGGGCAGGGATGCATCATGATGCATCGGGGATGGGACACAGCCCAGCACAAATGGAACGAACAGCATGCTGCAATTCCTGCACCAAACAGTATGAGCATGTGAAACGAGAGAAATCATGGTTGAAAAGCAATAATGAACCACCTATAATATATGTTGATGGTTTATACCACCAATTTATGGTGAATTAAGTCAAAAACATCCGAAAACCCTTTCTATCTGATGGCTAGAACCAGGCCCTCATGAAGCTGTTGTACAACTTGCTGCACCGAAAACACGACTCGAAGAATTGGCCACCATGGCTGCGAGCTTGCAGAACAGAACTGAGGCTGGAACAATAAACCGGAGATGGTGACCTGTGCCGAAGACTTGCCAATGCCTTCAGAACTAGTTACGTGGGGGATTCTGTGGATAAGAAACAGAACTCTGCTACGGGCAAAGGTTGAAGAAAAGGCCACAGAACGCAGTTCTGCTGTGGAGCCCGGTGCTTTCGGCGACCTGAGATCATTGAATTATTGACGAACAAACACAATACTATATGATTGTCCACTACCACTACTACTAGTACTAATAATAATAAACATAGCGAGAATAACATACACATACATACACATAGCACACTATATAGAACACTATCGATATCAATATCATTCAATATCGGTACCAGTATCTCTTTGCTTTCCCCTTCTGGCGATCAAACATGACTGTGCCTCTGCCGCATCGGCACTGCCACTGGCTCCCATTGCGGAGCTGCCTGGGACTGTGATGGGCCGTGCTTCGTTGGCCAACTGACTAGTAATCCCCAAACAGAACTGGGTACTGGGTATATTTCATGGGTTTTATGGCTTATAAAAACTGTTAGAACTCACTGAATCCATCTGATCCTTACTAGTTTGCGAACCCACCATGGCCCTGCGAAGTCGAAAAAAAACACGCTTCAGCGCACGCCTCATGGCCCTGCGGAGGCTTTCTGCTCGGATTTGAGGGTCGGTGTTCAGGAGACCCATGGAGACCCGAACCAAACGCTTGTGTACCGGGCTTATGATCCCCCCCTACTCATGTCGGCAATAGATGCAACCTCTTTCACCCAACTATTGGAATGATTGGAATGGATATGTTGTTCGATGACTAATGACTAATTGATATATATATATATAAACATGCTACGTCACTTGGGTTGAACCACCAGCCATGGGAGGATAGCTACATCTCCTCCATAGCAGTAACAAACGTCCGGTCCCTTGACACAAAAAACCTGGGACACCTGACCGCTTCGACCGTAGGCCTGGCCATAGATTAGGCAGATCTACGAGCACCATTGAGTATCATGGCAGGTCAACCCCATATCAAGAAACCCTGGTGTTTTTTGGGGTGGGGTCAATCCAAAATAAAATGTGATGTTTGAAGATCAGAATGATAAGGTAGTGGTACCGGACCCAATTGAACAGCCACAGGGGGTATAAACCAAAGTATACCAAGGTTGATATAACGAAGAATGACCACATAGGTGAGTGTGTGTCTGTCGGCAACCTAATTTGATGCCATAGCCACATGAGCAGTGTTCAAAACCCCTGTTGATGATTAGTTTGGAGACTATACTGTCATATACATTCATATATTATCCAATTTATTGGGGATTATCACTATCCTCACGGGAATCCCACACTTCACCAACCAGTTTAATGAGACTTCGACCAGCCTTTTCGGCTCTACCCGAACTGCCCGAACATCGTGAACAGGGCTTGATGCTTTCGAATGAGACACCTTGGCCCAGGGCCCAGAGGGTCTGATTTCTGGGAGCCTTTCAAACACACTGTTCAGAAGAGTGGGAGAAGTCAGACACACTTGAGAAGATTGAAAAAATGACCACATGTCTTAACAACATGTTGAACTGTCGGATTATAGATTTCTCATTCCCCCAAGATATACTGGTATGGCAGGCAAACGCTAGCACTGTCTCTTGGTATCTCAGCGTCACACAGTCCGGCAAGTCTGACATATTGATGTTAGGATTGTTTACCATGGAGTCTGACTCCATTGAAGAAACCATGGAGTCTGGCAAATAAGCTCCATCAAGCTCCAGAGTTCATCAAATTGACAGTCAGCTGAGTCAGGATTCTACCCACTGGATGTGACGCAAAGGCGGCCCCAGGGCCCAGGCAGTCTCCACGGGCTCCGAGGGATAGGATGGACTCACTGCGTCCGAACCTGAAAAAGGACGAATTCAGCCAGCCTGCTCTGAACCAAACCGGGAATGGAAAAACATATAGATATCAAAAATAGATGCATGAGCTGATATCAATAGGTCAGGAAATCAAATGGATTGAAATCTGTTTCATTAACCCTATACTCTTTTGGGCACGAAATCTGGCGGAGGTTCAGCAAGCAAGCAATGATCATCAAGAAAACGGGAGTTGGCAAACGGAAACCGCTGCAGGCAACAAGTCGCTCCTTCCATGTCGAACATTCCGAGAGTTTCTGCGTGGTTTTTGCCGCCACCACAAGCTGGCAAGTATGTCTCTATCCATCTACCAAGCAATCCATCCATATACCCCTATATATGTATGTATACACAGACATTAGTATACAGATATATACATATATATGTATATATATATATATTTGTATTGTGAATATGCACATTTGATCAGTTTCCTTCTTAGCAGGGTTCCGCACTTCCACTTGTTGACCATCACTTGACTGCCAGATTGCGTTTCTCCATTCTAACTTCACCAGACATCTGGCTCAGGGAGCCTTGTTATGCAGCGGCGGGCGGGATGAGTGTCGTCGCCATAGGCTACGTTTTGGCAAGCTGGTGGTAGCTTGGAACTGACATAGGGTTGTCAGGATACGGCTGTGGACAGCCTGAGCTTGGTGGTACAAAAGGGCGTGTCCGCCTGTTTTGCGAGAGGTGCCAGGGGCACTTGGTTTTGGAGAAGGGAGCCGCTACCCAGTTGACACTGGTAGCGGAGCTCCTCGAAAACTTTCGAGGAGCATCCAGGACAGTTTACTGGTGCTTGCGAGACAAAGCTCTAGGCCGTGATCCTTAGCTTGTTTAGCTGCCCATGTCGGAAGCCTCAGGAGGACCTGAGTCAACTGGCGGTGTATCTAACCAGTTAGCATCGCTGGTTCCAAGTTTTGATCCCTCAAAGGACGACCTTCAGACTTATCAGCAGAAAGTTCAACTGGTACTCACAGTATGGCCGGCAGGAAAGATCTCAGAGCTTGTGACACGTTTGATTCTCAACACAACAGGGTCAGCATTTGCAAAGTTGCAGTTGCACCACGCCGAGTTGTGTGTCAACGATGCCAAACAGGTTCAGAAACTGATCGAACTGCTAGGGGGTCACTGGGGAAAGACTGGATTGGAGAAACGCTATGCTGACGCTGAACGAGCCTTGTTTCAGTGCGGCCAACGTATGAGTCCCATGACTCATACTTGGCCAGAGCCGATGTGCTCTGGTCAAAACTCAAAGCACAGAAGTTACAGGTGGATGATCTACAGGCATACATCACCTTGAGAGGCGCCAGACTGACAAGTGAAGACAAGAAACGGATCATCTTGGACTCTGACTCGTCTTTGGAAGGCACATTGACAATTGGCAGAGTTCGAGAGGCAGTGAGAATGCTAGGAACAGCTTTCTTCCAGGAAATGACTGGCTTGGGGAAAAAGGTGGACAAGGCGAAGGTATATGAT